ATATGAGTTTCAGTTTCCAGACTAATTTTATGAGTGATATTTTCAGATTGTCATCCTCCTCCTTTTGTCTGCTTCCTTCAACACATGTGTCACTATGTGTATAACACTACACTATTGGGCCAAATATGTGTTTTAGGTTATTTAATAATAAAGGATGATTTACTCATAAATATACACTGATTAGTGAGTTATTATTTTTTTTAAAGAAATTGATGAGTTTCCATAAACTCAGAATTAATCAATCAAAAATATGCATAACGAGGTGCTGGTTAGTGAAAGCCGCCATGTTTCCTTACTATCATGAATACAGTGACATCACCCTTCAGGCCTCTAACACACAAAAACATGTATAAAAATGCTGATTTACTCCTGATGTTGTTACAATTACTTATTGTCAGTAGATTAGACACGTGACCCTGGTGTTTTAAGACAATAACAGCTAAATTATGCAAGTTAATTTTAGGCTCCGGTGTCACGTTTCCCTCTGACAAACAGTTTGTTACAGTCTCACACTGTGTGACAGTTTATTCGCCAAGTGTCCAAGTCCAGCAGAGTTAGGTCCACTCTAACGAAAGTTTCATAGTCTTACAGTCTCCTCTACATAAAACAGACACGGACACCAGCCGAGGTAAACAGCAGACTGACAGCCTACACGCCAGAGCTGTTTGTCCTACAGCGGCCACCGTAGGCGGGATTTTTACACACTTATAAGGACATAATTCAGCTGATCGAACGCCTCGGTCTACTGACATCTAGTGGTGAAATCGTGCACACTAAACCTTTAACCATTTCAAAACAGTAAAAATAATACAAACACACTTGCAATAAACATATACAACCATGGCTAAAACTGAATTTTTTTAAATTCGTTTTAGTTTTTAGCCTAACAGTTAACTAAAAAAAAATGTTTTTACACCTACTTTTTAAATTCTCTACAATAAACTTGGCCCAATGTATTTGTGCATTAACTCATCTCCACCATTGTGTGGCGTTAGAAATCCTAATAGCTATATTAAGCTAACAGCTAATAAATAAACAGCTAATAGCTTCTCA